TCCTCCTGCCCCTGAAAAACAACAACGAAGTTAAACAGAGCGAATGAGCAAGAAGAGAAGTCCAGCAAAGACAGAATGTTCTCCCTTATCACCAGGTCTTCTCCATCTCCCAAGCTGCCTGCCTGGAGCCAGAAAAACAGGACAGAGTACAAACTGAACACGGCTTTGAAGACATAATCTTAAAGCCTCCAATATCCCACCAAAGACTGGCAGATTCAGTATTAGTTGTAACACCCCTGCTTTTGACACTACAGTACAAAACAGGGAAAACAGATTTAGTATGAATCAAGGGAAGTAAGAAGATCATCTAAGACCTCCTCCCCATTCTGGAGCCTGACATCCCATTTAGAAACAGCACTGCAACTGCAAGGGGTGGGGGGAATGGCCATGGAAGACACATTATTAAGACATATTCCCTACACCTAGCACACATTACTCTCTAATCCTGTCATCTCCTACAAATTAAGTCAGTCAGATCAGGAGGCTCAGCAACAGCAAAACATGAAAAGTGAAAGGAAAGAAAAACATCAGCCCGGCAAGATAAGAAGTACTGCAAGGCCTGGAGCAGGTTTCTAGAAGACCCCCTCTTCCTTATTACAGAATTTGTTCCAACGGAGCTGAAGTTCCCACAGCCAGAGATAGTTAAAAATAAATAAATAAAAAGCAAAGCTGGTTTTCAGAAGGGACAAGATGATGTAGCTTCTTGTCCTGAATAATCCTCATGCCCCTTGATAAGGCCTGGTGTTAGCACAAGTACAATCACACACAGTCCAGGTCCTGGCCCTAAGGAGACAGAAATGGGAAAAGAATAGTGACAGGCAGACACTGAGATGTACATTATAAGGGTCAAGGAGATCCTCCTAGAAGAGCTTCATCAATCATAACAGACGGTCTGTAGTATCTTCTTACACTTCAGCAAGACAAAATCAAAAATAAAAAAGGGGGGGGAGGGGAGGAATTGCAGAGAGATTGTGGGGAGACATTTCTTTCAATCCCCCTGAAAAAAAAGAGCTTCCCTCCATTCCCACCTAGTGAGCCCTCAGTCCCAGCCTTCACACTGCCCCCCCCAGAAGCCTCACGACATGAAGGGGGGAATATTCCCAGGCAGCTCGGGGGGTGGGCGGTGGGAGAAGGCGCTGTGCAAGGTGGGGTGCTGTGGCCTGAATTCCCCCCCTTGCCGGGACCCGGCGTTGTGACTACCCCCCCTTGAGGGCAGAGGAGGAATGGGAGGTCCCCATGCCCCCTCCAAGCCCCTGGAACAAGGGAGGGGGTGCGAGGGGAATATCAAGGCAGGCAGATATGGGGGGGAAGCATTTTGAGGGACTTCCTCCCCTTGAAATCCCCCCTCGCTTCCTCCTCTACAGGAAATAGGTGTCATGATTAATAACACCCCCTTCCACTTCAGCAACAGCGAAGGGGGAGGGGAAGGAGCATTTACACAGACAGCTAAGGCGGCATTATCAAGAGGGAATCCCCCCCATAACCTCCACCCCTGGAAAGGGAAGGGGAGCAATCACAGGCGGCATGGGAGGCACAGCCATGACCAAGGGGGTGGGCTCTGCCTCCTTCAGTCCCCGAGATTAACAGAGCCCTTTTACACTCCAGCAACAAGGGCAGGAAAAGCAGAGGGGACCGGCAGAGTCACGGACGGGCACTGCCGGCTCCTTCTGCGGGGCGGCTGCCCCCACACAGGATCCAACACCCTCGAGTAAGCACAGGCGAGGAGGGAAAATAAAGGGGAGGGAGCAGAGGCGCGGATACACACCGAGGGGGCATGATGAGGGGAGGCTCTCCCCCGTATGATCGATACCACCCTTTGCACTCCCGCTCCTGCCACAACGAGAAGGAGGAGAGAGGGAAAAGGGGGGAAAGCAGTGAGGGAAGGAGGCAGCGGGAGCTGGAGAGTGGGGGGAGGGGAGGGCCCCTCTCCCTCAGAGCCCCCCACCCCTGCCCACGTTACCTGCTTTTGTGATCTCTGGGGCACTCAGTCCCATCTTGCTGCCGCTGCTGCTCTCTGTTTGGGCATTAGCATTGCCTCCTACTACTACTCCTCCAGGGCTGGGGCTAGGGCTGCTGCTGCTACTGCTGCTGCTCACAACATGGTTCCCCAGCAGCCCCCCAGCGGCCCTCAGGGGCTCCTGCGCCTTGTGGTGCTGGTGGTGGTGGCCGGAGGCCGCCAGCTGGGACTCCAGGGAGCCCACCAGGTCGCTCACCACCTTCTCATCCACCTCCGTGTTCAGGAAAACCTCATCCAGCAGATCCGAGCCCGCCGCCATCTTTTTTTCGGAGGGTTCCTGTGAGCGGCTCCCTCCTCCCCCCCCTCCCCTCTCCCGGCTCCCTCCTCCCCCCGCCCCGCTCACACTCGGCCCCCCCGCCCAACAGCGCACGCGCGTGCGCCCGGCCCGCACATCACCGGCCGGCCAGGGATTCCGCCCGCCGCTGATTGGCCGGCGCCCGCGCTATAAAAGGCCGTGCAAATGGCTGCGATCGCTTAGTTGGGAGTCGGGCGGCGGCGGCGGCCCCCCGGCGGCCGCGGGCGGGCGGGGGCCGCGGCCCCTCGGTGCGGCCGCGCCGCGGGTGCGGGGGGTTCGGGAGACGCGCGGGGCGGCGGGGGCGACCGCGGCCGCCGGCGGCTCTTTGTCTGCCTCGGCCCAAAATGGCTGCATGTTTTCCCTGCTGCTCTCTGCGTCCGGGTCTCCCCCGCCGGCGCGAGTCTGAAGGGCGCCCCGCACCTGTGCCAGCTGCGTGTAACTGATCCACCGGCGGGGCGGGCGGGACACACGCCCAGCCACGGGCGGGGGCAGCGGGCGAGGAGGAGCCCCCGCGCCTGCCGCCCTGCCGCCGCCGTTGGCGGGGCGAGCCGGGGGCCGCAGCCCCTCGGTGCGGCCGGGCCGCGGGGGCGGGCGCGGGGCGCGGTCTGACTCAGCACGGCCGGGGCCAGCTCCGGGAAAGCGCGGCCGGCTGCGAGCCCAGCGCCGGGAAGGGAAAAGGAAAACGAGAGAGAGAGAGAGGGGAGGCGGGGGGGAAAAGAGAGGGAGACGGCAATTTTGAACGGTCCAGTCGCAGCTGCGAGCCGGCACGGCGGGGCGATCCCCGCCCGTGTGTCAGCCCGCGTTACACCCCCGCCGCCGCTTAACCCTTGGGGGAGAGCCGCGCTCCGCAGCGGCGCTCGGCGGGGAGCGCAGCCCCCGGGCCCGGCCCGCGCTGGCTGCAGGTGGACATGATCGCTTACAGGAGGCGGCTGCACTTTGACCTTGTTGTGCAACCATCATAAAGGAAGTAAATAACGTAAAAATGCAACCCGCCTTTCAATAAATGCGCTCTTCTGCCAGGCGCTGTTTCTCCAGAAAACTGAATTAGTGGAACAGTATTACCACATGCAATTGGAACAATATTATCAGATGGTACGATTTATCTGTCACAGAATAGAATCATAGAATCATCAAGGATGGAAGAGATCTCTAAGATCAAGTCCAACTGCACTACCACTGTGACCCTTAAACCACTAAATCACATCTCCCAGCACCAGATCCAGATTCCTCTTAACCACCTCCAGGGGTGGTGACTCCACCACCTCTCTGGGCAACTTATTCCAATGCCTGATTTAACTTAACTTCCAAGTTTTAAGGGGTAGCAAGCTTAAAATAGCACCTCTTATATCAGGATTTTAAAATAAGCTTTGCTGTTATGTTTTGGGAATGGGCAGCATTAGAGACTGGAACTCTGTTATAGTGGGATGGGCTCAGCACCTGCTGGTTGGTGATTCTGGGGAATTGACTGGCCTCCTGCCTGGAGGCTGGTGGAGACCTGGAAGAATCAGAGCCCTGAGTTATCTATGAAAAGGGGATAAATTTAAATATGTCCAAGTTTTCTGTACGTAGGGTTGCCCAAATGTGGGTGTCAACACTTCCCCCATCACATATTTGTGGTGATCACTTAACTTGATCATTTAATTCTAACATGAATTGAATTGATCTGCTTGACAGTTGACCCCATGAGCAATGGGAACAGTGGTGAAGTACTGTCCAGTTCTCACCCTGTCCCCAAATATGCAAACATACCCACAAAGGAGAAGCTGTTTGCCAAAAATTCACATAAAAACTGGTATGTATTTGCTCTTAACATACAGGCCCCAAATAATAGTGCAAGTACCTTTAAATCAAAAATCCTAGAAATTCAGCTCATAGTGAGGGATATTGCTCTTCTAGTTTCTATGTCCTCTTCTCACCTGCAGTAGACTTTGGCTGATAACTAAAAATTACAATGTTAAGCCTTTCCCAAGGCTCTGCTCACTTACCCCCATGGCATCATCCTGAGAAACTGCCTACAGCCTCTGAGTTTTATATTAATATTTTATTCTTGTACTTAAATGCTTTTCTCAGGCATCACTTCAAACTCAAGGGTGAGCAAGAAACTGCCCTTTTCATCTGTATGAATTTTAACTCCCATTTTATCAATTTTTGACAAATTACAGTACTGCAAAGTGGATGTGATTTTACAGGCATCACTGTAGGTCATGTTACCCTTTTCTTACAAGCCAGAAATGCTGCTTTGAGCAGGGCAGTCCCAACCTCTTTGCTGCTGCCTCAGTCAAGCACGTTGCTAGTTTTAGCTATGGTGAAATTCTATAAGCAGCATACCAAAGAACTGTCTGCAATAGAAGCCTGGTCACATTCCCTACCCACCAGAAGAGTTAACCAGCTGCTCAAATGATTTATTAAAGGTGAAAAAGCTTGACTCAAACTAAGCCAGCCCAAAGGTGCAGAGTGGCTGAAAGACTTTCTTTGATGGCATCTAGCCAGGGCACAGCCCCGTGCTGGGCCACAGTGCCTGAGGAGCACGGGAGGAAGAGATGGAGGATGTTATCAGGTGGCAGCAGCAGTCAGCATGAAGGGGCAGAGCAGCCTGCATTCTTGCTCTGCTCACATTCTAGGACAGCTTGAATGTAGTTTACAGATGCCTACAAAACTAGAAATAAAAACCTCGAAATCTTCACGTCCTCATTCTAACACTCTCTTTAGTGTACCATATGGCACATCTACCATATTAGGTAAACAACTTTACAAAATTACAAGAGCAACTGAGATTCATTACAACTTGTGCATTATAAGTGTGTAGGATCCATTACTGAATAATTTATCTTCTTATACACTCTGTCTCTTGTTTGACGTTGGAAGTAAGTTTCTAGAGTGAATTCTTCAGCACAGGGATTCCAGCTCCTGTGCTGTACTACTCCATTTTAAATGGTACAAAAAGAGCAACTTGCACAAGGATTCTAGTAATTGAGTACAGGTAATTATTAGTGTTGGTGTAGAAATAGTCAGACTCAATATACAGTGAAGGCCATGGACTTCACCCATCAGTTACAGCAAAATATCTTGAACATTACAGATACAGATACAAGACTTCATTTGCATCCAGAATAAAAATGTTTGACAATCTATAGGAAAAATATTCCTGGTTCAAGTATTTTTCTTTGACTTTAGGGAGAAATGCAGTTTTACTCTAGACATGCACAAGTAAATAAAGCAACTTCTGTGCCCTTTTTAGTCTACACTCTTGCTTGTCTTCTCCCTGAAATCTCAAAATATTGTTAAAGTCTTGATCTTCAACTCATCCCATGTACTTCAGTTGTCCTTAGGTGAATCCCTGAAGTCTAATGCTCCTAATAGGGATTAATATTCATAATTAAGTATGGTATGCTGGAAGAAAATGTCTTAACTATTGCACTGTAAAATAAAAAGAGGTGAACAGTAGATTTGGACAGCAACAATACAGTTCCTTTTTCTTTTATGATAATCATACCTACCTACATCCATATTTCCAGTGAAGTCCCCATGGGTATTGGACTGTTTCTGCCAGCCATAGAAGCTCCAGCCCTGTGCTGCACTGCAGGGTTCTGGCCAGAAGCTTCACATGATGCTGCCAGGGAAGAGAAAAGGCAAAAGCACCCACTTAAATAAGTGTTTGTGTCTGCATAACAATTACTGGAACCCCAGAAATAAAGCAGAAAAAAACCCAACTCTTCTTTTCATAAAATATATTTGATTGAATAAACATAATATGTTACAACTTAAGGGATATCCTCTTTTTAAAGTCAAGGTATTTAACAATACTTAGTTATTAATTAGGAAAGACATAGGAGATGTCCATTAGAGGGACACTACTTGTAAGCTTGGTTTTCAAACCAAAATGTTAGCTGAGCACACAACTGCCTTGGCAATCTCCTAAGTGTTTCTGCGACAGAAGACTGTGCCATTAGAATATGCAATTCCCACAGGAGTTATTTATGTGTGGCTCTCCTGAGGCATTCCAAAGTCCACGCAACTCAACATCCGGTGCCCAAAAGAAAACGCCTGGAGAATATTCTGTAGGATAAAGAATTATTGTTTAAAACCCTTCAAGGCTTTACAGCATAAAAGAGACTTTTTTCCTGGAAAACTTGGAAAACTTTTTCATTCCCAACTGCTCTTCATCTGGCTCGTCATGCTTGTTACTGCCAAGACATGAAGTATCAATACTCAGACTCATCTGTAAGGCAATTCTTAAGGAACTTTACTCATAGGAGAAAATGCAAGTTTCTAACCACACTCCCCAGCAGCTAACAGAGATTTCTAAAGCAAATCTTCTGAAGGGGTTTACTAGCAAATAGCCAGAATTCTGTGAGTGGAAAAGACAAGCAGCAGAGATGTCAACTAAGATTTGTGTTTTATCTGTTCTGAAAAATTTCTTGTGCAAGCCTACATGATTCATGGGGAAAAGAAAAATACTATTAGAAGATTAGAGGTCCTTCTGGTCACTACAACCAGCTTCAGTAATTTCACATATTTTAAATTTAGCAAATTATTAGAACTGACTGGGCAAAATGAAAATGCTTTCCTCTTTAAGTAAATTAAAGGACTTTTGGAAAATTGAATCACTATTTTCAAGACAGAATATGTCAAGAAAATGTGCCTTCTGATGGGTCTCATTACTGGAAATCCAATTTGCACATTTTACAGACAGGATTTGTTAGAATACGTTAGAAATATTTCTTTTTAGAAAGAGGTGACTTTGGCAGGTTTTGCTTCAACGTTTCTGTGAGCCTTTGTGAGCAAGTATGATCCTGCTAGGGATGTTTTATCAACAATATATCCTCAGACAAGCTAATGGTACATGATACCATGGATATTCCAGTAATGGATTCCTGCCCTCTCTTGATTCAGAGCTGGACACATTTAACAATTGACCAGTTATGGCAGTCAGTGTTATCCTCCTTCTTTACATGCTTCCCTCCACTCCCTGGCCTTCAAAAATACAGTACTGGAAAGCCAGTAGACAGCAGACAGAAGAGGTATGAAAACATCATCATTTACAGAAAAAAATGAAAGTATTCCAGTACAGGAGGTTTGTTTTGGTTGTAATGAAATGAGATTTTATCTCAACTTTTTGTGGATTTGGAATGCAAAAGTATGTAAGGAAGATTTTGCTGAGTTTTTGTTATTTTTTTATTTAATGACTCCTCTGTAATAACTGATTAAAATAAATCATGCCATAGCTTCCTTATTGAGCTGTCTCAGACTTAATGAAAACACAGCTAGAAAGGCTATTAGACAAGTTTTTGGTTTTTTTTTCTGGATTCTCCAGCAGTCTAAATAGTTAGGGATATAATTCCAGACCCTAGGTTACTTTCTTACACTACCTAAAATATATTCTCATTATCAGAGAGAGTTCTGGAATTGCCCTGATTCCTTTAACAAGCTTTTGCCCGTTTTGGAAACTGCAAACAAATTAAATAACTCAGTTAAATATGGGATGTGTTCCCATAGTTGCCTGAAGAAACTAGAGCAGTTTTTGAAGCAAGTCAAACAAAGATTTTATCTCTTAAATACAAGATGGGCAAAACTTCCAGCCCAAAGGAAATGACACACCTGGATGTGGTGCCAAGGGAGTGAAGTTGTTCCTTACTGTTACCCACCTTTGTTTGTATGGGGTACCTTGCAGTACTCCTCCAATACCACACAAGTATAACAAAATTGCTGTCACTATTCTTCAGACCAGTTCATGCTCCAAGTTAAGCTTGCACAAATCTTTTGTCTTCAAAATGTCCTACTAGCAACTGTATGTCCCAAACAGCCTTTGGAAATTTGGCACAGGTGATGTCATAGGCAGAGTAAATGTTGAGGATGCTGCTGAGTAAAATACAGAGTCCAAGATGAAGATGTGAAGTGTTCTGGAAAAAAATTAACCATATTAATCAGAATTAGGTGAAAAAATTGAAAAGCCAAATCTCTTTTTTAGTTACTTTACGGGAAAAAAACGTGGTTTAAAAGTGCATTAAATATCAAACACCTTGTCATACATGAAGTGATGGAGAAATGAGGTATGAGGCACAAATAATGCAAAGGCTTTGGAACAGTAAATGTCAGAATTGTCGTATTTGTGAAAAGTGTGTACACAAATACTACAATGGTAAGGAGAAGTGTGAGGTAGAAGGAGATAATTCCCATTTTATTGTCATACAAAAATAATTTACTTCCTGAAACTGCACTAAAATCCTATTGCTATGAATTACTTTACCAGTCTTGGTATCTTTAGCCTAAACTTGAATTAAAACCTATAAACTTTAAACTCCAAAGCCTCTCCAGTCTTATTTTAAAAAGGAAAATAACTAAGATAAATGAAGAACACCCTAGAAGATAAAACAATGACTAATAATTCATTCCTTAAAGACATTTCTGAAACATGACTTTTAAAACAAGGCCAGGAACACTTCAAGCCATGAAAACTGCAGCAGATGTTGTGCAGGGAAAGAGCAGCACACTGCCAAGGCTGGTAAAATGATCCTTTACCTCACTGAACAGAAAGAAGCCGAATCTACAACCCATTTGTAAAACAGGTAAGGAGAGGGAGATTCTTTGGCTGAAGAAGAATCCATTGTAAAGAATGAATGCAAATGAGGTCTCTGAACTAAAACATCTCATAAAGAACTCTCTCCTCTATATTCTCAGCCCAGTGATGTACATTATTGCCCTGTGCTTTGATTTGCACAGCAAGAGCTGTGCAGCTGGGTCTTGGTTCAACCCCACTGAAACCTCAGTGCCAAGGAAATAGTGCTCAGTACTGATAGCTGGCATGTCTTCAATAATTTGGAGAGAGAAAAGTCCAGAGAGGGAAGGAGGAGCCCTTAAAGAAACATTGCTGTTGAGCTTTCTGGAATTTTAGCAAAACCCACCTGGTGAAGGTAGATTTCTGTCCAGGGAATGGTGACATTTTCTGGTCTGCAGCATCCAGGGGTCTACAGTATGTTTTGTACTCAAAAACATCTGAATTTGTTCAGAAAAGACTGGTCTCAGAGTGATGTATGAGGCTGTACTCCCATCTGCTCCTTGGCCTCTCCTGTGAGACGCTGTCAGGTGTACCAAGGAGGTCAGTTGGGGCAATCTGGTTGTAACAGGCTCTCTTCAGCCCAGAAGTGGATTTAGATCATTGGTTATCACTGCAGCTCTTGAACCTCTCAGAAAGTTGTGCATGAAGTTCAATACACAGAACCTATTCTCCCAATTAGTGCATAAATGTAAACCTCTACAAAATCTTCCCCTGCAGACTAATCCTCTGCAGCATTTCATCCCTATAAGCCAATTTTTTGCTTCCTTTCTCTGTTTATTACTTCCTTTTTTTTTGCTTTCATGGCAGTGTATCTTCAATCCACCTTTTGCTCACTTCATGCCTGGAAGAACTTTATGAAATCCCACTTTTATCCCATGCTCTCACATCAGTGCATCTGTGAGGGTGCACAGAGGTTTGCCATTCACTTCAGTACAACATATTCCAAAGAAAAGAAAACTATGCAGCAGAAAACTCAGTCAGAAATTTCTCCCAATGGAGCTTAGTATCTTAGGCACTGTTCAGTTCTCCCTACTCTCCTAGATAGACAACTATATCTCTTTATGCCCTAATTATTTCTAAACTTAGGTCTGAATCCTCTTACTCTTTTCAACAGGAGATAGATGCATAAATGCCTTTTTTAGAATGTGTCTGACTTAAAAGTCTTCATCCTTTGACTTTTGTCACCAAACTGCAAACTTCAGCTTTGTCCACCTTTTTTGTATCACATACACTATCCATTTAACTGTCTTCATGAAAGGATCTCTTAAAATTATATCCAGCTTCCACATCTGTGAATAAATCACTACCTGCTTAGCCAGGATAACTTCATCTTGCCATTCAAGATCCAGAAAGCCTCGGTATAAAAGGTACTTGCACTTCCTGAATGGCTTCATTCCCCAAAACTTCAATGACAAAGTGGACTGCAAGAGCAGGCAGGATTTTGGGCTGAGTTCTCAGCCTTATGTCTAGTACTGAGTGTGAGTTTTAGTCTCATTTCTATAAAGTAGACACTGGTGGAGTGGTGTGCATATGGAAAGTCTGGAATAGCAGTTTGTGTTCATTCTAATAAAAGATGTTACACAAGTCCAAGATTTAGTTTTATAAAAACAAGTAAATGTATGTTCCCCCCTTACTCTGTTGTATTAAAAGTGACTCCTTGGTAGATTAAGACAATCAAACACAACTTGTAAGTAGATTCATGGCATATAATCAGCAAAGACTGGGCAGGTCAGAACAGCACTATTGCCTTATCCCACCCATTTAAGTAGATATATTGATATATCTTTAAAAAATGAGTTCAGAAGTCAGACTGGTAATTTGAATCTTCCACATGGAAGTGCTACAGAAACAGAAAAATTCTCCAGTATGTTTTTGTAATTTTACTGCTGGATTTTCACAAGTACAAAAAGAAATTATCATTTTGCATTATAGCAAGGAACTGCATAACCTTTTAGAAAGCAGTCAGTTTTTCAGGGAAAAGAATAACTGACTACAGAGTGAAAAGTGTCATTGAATGCATTCACAGAATAAGAAAATAAAAATGTATCATTCTAACATGAGTGTATTTACAGTAAAGCTGGTTAAAGTATAGATTAAGAGCCTGTTAATTCTAGTAATACAAAATGCTGTTTTTTTAATCTTTATAGGTAATTCCTTATCTCAGATACTGACACCATACATTATAAACACTGTGTATCTGCACAAAATAAGTTTGTTTACAGACAAACTCACATGACCATTTTTTCCTCTTATGTTTGTGTTTCATACAGTTGGAGCATAGAAATAAACAGTGCCCAAAGTGTGGTTTTGCTTTCATGCTCACCAACTCTGTGGGTCTGGATAAGAAGTTTAATCTCTCTGCCATCTCCTCCTCATTGGTAAAATACATTTTGTCTTGACTGTGCAATGCCCTTGGAATGCTGAGAAGTGCAATGGAAAAATGCAGATTTATGCCAATGCCACTGAATACACAGTCGAGGCACTAATTAAAAGAGCCAAACCCCCATAAGCCTAAAACGATGACATTTTATAAAATATTTCATTTAAAACCAGAAGTTAAACTGACTTTATATTTGATACATGGGGGTGGAATGAAAGATGTCAAAATTAAAATCCCCGAGGCACAGACTGAAAACTGAGAAAAAGAGAGAAAAAGCGGAAAGAGGACAGAACAGCATTACAGGTATTACAGTCTCTGTATTTCTTTCTGAAATAAAAAAGGAAACAACACATTGTTTTGATGGATTTTTTTTTTTCAGAAGAACCCTTTTCCTGAGATGTAAGGCAAACTAATATAATGAAACACTATTTTCTCCATACATCATTGTATCTCTTTTTCTTAGACTGTGGGAAATGGAGAAACTAATTTTACAAAGCCCACATTATCTAAATACAGGTTACCAATCCTTCTATTTTTCTACTTATTAATATTTCAAATTTTTGTTCTCCTTATTCCATTCTCCACCCCTCACTCTTCCCATCATTTTAGTTTCCTTCAATTTCCTTGAATTTACATGCTTTTTTCTTTATTCTACTTCATCAGCTTTCTTTTGTGTAGACTAAAAACCCTTACAAGAGTGGATAAGTTTTTCCCCTTCTCATCTTTTCTGTTTCTCCATCCTGTTCCAGTCCCTCCTTCATTCCTGGTCTCTTTTCTACTGCCCATTTCTCACACCTCTACAGAACAGTGTCCTGTACTTGGTGACTTTCCCCTCCTTCCCTGCAACAACCATAATCTTATTTTGAAATTACTGCTCTAACATCTCTTCCTCTAGGGCTCAAGCATTTCTCTCTTCCTTTGTATCATTTGTTTGCCACACATAAATTCAGATCTCTGTTCCATTTTCAGTTCCTCCATTTCCATGCTTATTTGTTTTCTTTCATCCTTTTTTTAAATTTTTGCCACCAACTGCAAACATATCCCATTGTCCCCAGGTGCAAGAGGTGATGCTTCAGCAGGCAGTGCCTGGCTCCCTTCCTCCAGCAGCTGGAGCTTGTTACAGGTGTTCTGCCAACTGCTGGTTTGTACTTAACTCTGCCAGAACTCACCTGAGTCCCTTCAGCTCACATTTCCATGGATGTGGCCATCATCCACCACTAAAGCTCTCTCACCATCACACACCCCACAAATTCTCATCACTGAAGAAAGTCACAGGTTTGTCTCTTACCTGTTTTGAAATGTGCTTAGATGCATGGGTGCTTACCCTCTCAAATGCCTCTAATTGCCTTGCAGCTGCCACAGGAGTCTCCTGAGCTCTGGCAACACAGATTTCCTGTAAATAAATTAGCTGTGCAGTTACATGGTGTGACTCTACCCTACCTCCACTCTCCAAAGACCACAGGTACCTGTAGTCCAAATGGCTGTTGTGTGAATCCTGTGCCTGTTGTGAGCATGAGGTGCCTCTCTGCCAAATTTCTTCCTACAGCCACGACGAACTGCAGTCAGCATCTTTGTATGAAGCCAAATGTTCCCTCTTCATATGAGGGATGCCTGGGATAGCACACTTGTCATGAATTTACACAGTGAAAATGCTCTTTGCTTCCCCCTTTCAACACTTAGCGCATGAAGAACTGTATTTTTTAGCAGAATAAATAATACTAACAGGCCACTTAAAATGTCAGGTGTCATATTTCTTCTTGCTGATCGCTTGTTATCTCTGACTGTTGTCAAACAGAAAATATTGAGGAAATTCATTACAATAAGAGTATCTTCCAGAAGCAGGCTGATTTATGGCCATAGTGATTATAACTAAAATTCTGTATGTTTGCATATCTCTCCTTACCAGTGTGTAGGTCATGGCAACTTGGTGTAGTTTTCTTTTTCCACACTGCTTTAATTAGCCTTCCTGAATGATCCACATCACTGTATTGGTACATGTGACTGTCTCTTTCTTCCCTGGTATTAAAAAAAAAAAAAAAAAAAAAAAAAAAAAAAAAAAAAGGCAGAAAAAGTGAAGGAATAGAACAATCATAATAATACCTTGTGCTGAAGAAGTAACTAAGTACTGGCACTTACAGGTGCCTATGAACCAGTGACATTTTGGTTTGCATAAAGAAAAAAATTAATTGAGCTGCAAAACTTGGAGCCCCATTTACTAGTTCTAAAGAAAATTTTAAGAGTGGAAATAAGAAACGTCAGTTTAAACATATTGTGGTGTTGGGAGATGTTAACCAAAAGAGAGAGTTGTGTTTCTCTACCTTTGGCAACACTATTGACATAATTTTTTCATTATAAATATTTTTTGTGGCTGCCTCAATCTGAGCAGACACATTTTTTCTATTATTTCTTTCCCTATTATTTCTCCATTTGATCTTTTCCACACTCCTAAACTAGACGCTCCTCATACAGAGGAACTAAAGGAGTTTTTTTCTTTTCGGAAGTTTCTAACCATCAATTTGCCCGCTAAAGGGCACTGTTTACTGCAGTAAAAAAGGAATCTCTGCTTTCCCTCTTTAAGTTATACTTAAGGCTGAGCTAAAAATCTAAAAAGGCTGACTTTTAGGGGTGAGTTTCTTACTCAAAATTACTGCTTTTCCAATTAATTTTTTTTTTTACTTTTTATTTTTAGGAACTCCATACTAGAACAATTAATAAGGAAAAGACAGCACACATGTGCGAGTGGAAAGGAAGCATCTGCCCTGTTCAGGCAGGGGAGATCTGCTCTTCAAGCTGTATAAACAGCACGAAGAGTAGCACCATAAAATACATAAGGTCGGGGCACTGGGAGAACAGCTCTCCGAGCCATGGTGTGCAAGGACGCGGGGATAAACCTGTGGGCTGCGTTCTCGCGTGTCGCTGTTGTGTCGCTGATGGAAGGAAGACATGTAACCAAGGCATGGGCGCCTGCAGCTCCAGCGAACCTCCCCGCACTCAGACAATGGCTCCCGCTGCATTGTCCCCGGCTGCTGGGTTTGAATCGTATTCATTGGAGTCACACAAATTAGTGCGATCTGTGCACTCTGACCCGCTGCCCGAAATGCGGCTGCCCTGCCGGATCCCCATCCCGCCCTGTGGCTGGTGAGTGATTTCACCTCCGTGGCCATGTCTGCCAGATGCTGCCGCTTGTCTGTCCCTGACCCGCAGATGGCCGGGGAGCTCCCGGGAGACGCCGCACGGAGCGGCCCCATCCTCCAGCCGCAGCCTGGCACGGGGGGACCGCGCCGGGCCGACCCGAGCCGAGCCAGCACAACAAAGGCACGGGCGACCGCACAGAGCACCGGGCACCCGCGGCTCTGCCAGCGCCGGAGGGACACGGGGCTTGGGCAGAGGCAGCCATGGCTGCTCCGTGACGGGAAGGCGATGATGGTCTCCTTCTCCCCGCGCTGCCTGACAGCAGCTCCACCGCATCGGCAATGACACCCGCGTGAGGGGCAGCGCCACACGGGCAGTGCCACCCGGGCGAGGAGCGGTGCCACACAAGGGGCAGGCAGTGCCACACAAGGGGCAGCGGCAGAGGCTCAGTGCCACACAAGGGCAGCGGCAGAGGGACAGCGGCACAGGCTCGGTGCCACACAAGGGGCAGAGGCACAGGCTCGGTGCCACCCGGGCGAAGAGCAGTGCCACACAAGGGGCAGTGCCACACAAGGGGCAGCGGCACAAGCTCGGTGCCACACAAGGATCAGTGCCACACAAGGGGCAGCGGCACAGGCTCGGTGCCACACAAGGGGCAGTGCCACACAGGGGCAGCGGCACAGGCTCGGTGCCACACAAGGGGCAGTGCCACACAAGGGGCAGGCAGTGCCACACAAGGGCAGTGGCACAGGCTCGGTGCCCCAGAACCGCCCTCAGCCCCGACCCTCCCCGCCCGCCCGCGCGCTCCCCTCAGCCGCGGCAGCGCGGGAAGCGAAGCGCGCGCGCTCCCGCCCCGCCTGGCCCCGCCCCGCAGCCGCGGCGCACGTGGCACCCTCGCCCGCGCTGGTCACGTGACGCGGGCCCCGGGTGTTCCCCCCACTCCGCCCCTCCCCGTCTGACCCCGTCTCTCCCGTCTGGTCAATAGCGCGCGGCGCATGCGCAGTCCCGCAGCACGCCCCCCGCTGCCTCCCCCCGGCCCGGCTCCCTCCGCCCTATATAAGGCGCGCGCGGCGGGGTCCCCGCTCCGCAGTGCGCGTGGGCGGCGCGGCGGCTCCGCGCGCCTCCGGGACCCCCCTGCCCTCCCTCCCTCCCCCGGCCCGGCTCCGCCGCCGCCATGAGCTCGGGGACCCCCTACATCGGCAGCAAGATCAGCCTGATCTCCAAGGCGCAGATCCGCTATGAGGGCATCCTCTACACCATCGACACCGAGAACTCCACCGTGGCGCTGGCCAAGGGTGAGGCGGGGCCCGGTGGGGGGCGCGGGCGGGCCTAGGCCGGCGCTGGCTGAGGGGACGCGGCGGGGGCCGCCGTGCCGCGAACAATGAGCGCGCCCGGGGCCCGCCCGCCCCGCGGGGCTGCGGCGGGGCCGGAGCCCCGTGTCCGGAGCAATGGTGCTCCCCGTGAGTCAGCACTGACAGCGGCCGCGCCGGAGGGGCGGGCAGGGCCCGGGATGCTGAGCAGCGCTCGGCCCTCCGCGGGAGTTCCCGGGGAGAAGCGCTGCCGGCTCCCCGTGCCATTGTCAGGAGCGGGGAGGTGACGCTCGCAGCGCTGTGCGGGGCTCGGTGCCCCTCGCTGGGCTGTGCCCGGCTGTGTGTCGGTGTTCGGCTCGAGGAGGGCCCCAGGCCGGCGCTGAGGAAAACAGTTCTGTTGTTGTGTCTTTGTTCCTGCCGTGGTCGATAACTGGGCTCAGCTCAGGTGAGGAGGGTGGGAGCTGCTGCACAGAGCGCTGTGGGCCGCCTGCACGTGGGTCTGGATCGCCGACCTTGCTGGCTCCTCAGCGAGGCTTTGCATTTTGTTTCCCTGTAGAAATACCGATTGTTATCTTCCAAACAGTGTCATTTGGGTTCAGTTGTCACCTGTGCTGGGAACTCCTGTATTTTATCTCACTGAAACCTGTCCTGTCTTGTTTAGTCTTTCAAACGTGAACTTACTCCTGTACTGCTTTTCAAGTCTAGCTTGGCTACTTCAGCTAATGTGCATCGGTGTTTTCTTTTCCTGAGTTTTGTCCTTCCTTGTTTTGGGAAGTTCACACGTTCTTCATTGCCTGCAGCCAGCCATCGGGGCTGTCCACAAAACAAACACCTTTTGTTTTGAAAGGCTGTTTGCTGGCAAGAGGCACTGACTTGCCAGATTCACAACTACCCGCAAGGCAGCCTGTGCCCCAGTGTTTACCTAGCATAATGATGTTTATATGATGCTGGGCATTATTTGATAACCATCAGAGTGTTTTCTGAAGTTAAAAATGCGACTTTTCTCAAATTCCCTTTTTCTCTAGGAATGTAGTAGTTTATTTAAAATGCACAAATGGAGCTGTTTGTGTTCGTGTGTTGCTCAAAGTAGTTGAGATGTTGCTGGAAGGATGCAGTTCCTTTCCTGTAGGTGCAGGAAGATCCTCACCTTGGCCCAGCAGCAAGTAGAAATGGTTCCTTAAGTGCTCCTGCCTTACACATGGCACTTGCTACTTCAGAGCTGGCGTGTTTCAAAGGCATGTATGATTGGTGCGAGTAAGTGTATGCTTTGGATGAGATTTCTGGCAATTCTTGTATTTATTGGTCTCTCAGTGTTCAGTTTTGATGAACTGGAATGCCTAAGAAGTGGTTGTTGCAGTAGGTGGAGAATAGGTTTTTCCCCACCTAGAGAGCTGTTCTGTAAACTTTGCATCACAAACCCCGCTTTTCATTGTAGCTCAAGAGGGGTTTTTCAAATTTAGAGACTTAGTACCAAAGCAAAATTAGTGTCAGAATTACAAATGTAGCAACAAGGTTGAAGTTGGGCAGTATCAACCCCGTGTGTGGTGTCAGTGGTTTAATACACTTGAGGCATTAGAAGGCCCATGAATTACTGACATGCTGTTGAAGTTGTCCAGACTGCAGGTAAATTGTTGTTAAACCCTGGATGTCGCTGTTTAAACACTTCCATGTGCAATGCAAGTGCTATTCTCTTTAGTTCTATCATTCATGAAGAAAAGTCTAAGTTGAAAGAGACTTCAGGAAGAAATCTGGTTCAGCCTCTCACTTGAACCAGGCTGACTTCAATTAATTTATATTTGTTAAACCTCAATACGTGCACAGAATCTTAAATGCTGGAGATTCTGTGGACTTAATCACTACAAGAAAGTTGTCTGTTTTGTTAGAGGCTAAACTTAAGTTGCAAACAAAAGAAGTTTAAGCCCACAGCTGTCCTGTCGGAACTTACTCCCCCTTAAGTAGAAGTCTGAAGAAATTGGAGTTTTTGAACAAAAAAATATCCATGTAAGCTCTGCTTTCTAGCCAGTCTTGCTGTGCTTCCTGCCCCTTCAAAGCTTAAGCTCAACAGCCCTACACAAGTAGGATCTGTGTTGTAAACCAGGAGTTGCAGTGTTGTGGGATTGATTTCCCTGTTCATCTGTAAGCAAGTCAGTAACTTCATGGGAGATAACCCTTCCCACCTCCACAGGAACTTTAAGCTGTGCTTTATGCTGTGCCAGAAACAGTTAAACACCTCAGGTGCAGGGACAGACAAGCTCAACTCCTACAGTCATGTTTTGTCTACCACAAGGACTTGGCTTTCCAACTTTTTTGTTAGAAACCTTGGCACCAGCCAACTGAGAGGCTGCCTGGGCAGCTTTGGGCTTTGCAGGTCATGTGTTTGTCCATGTGGAAGTTGACAGTCTGGTCATGGTGGTTTCCAAGTTAGTTGTGCAATCCTGCAGGAGCTCTGGATACCTTTAGTATATCTTGCCATGAGCTGTAATAATCTAATTTTGAACAGAGAGATCAGTGGTACAGTTCATGTCCAAAAGGCTACAAGCATTGCTTTCAGTTTATAATCTGCTTCTGGTTGACTGGGTTACAGCTGTAATATGATCAAACAGCAGCTGGAGAG